GACAGGCTAGAGTTTTTGGGGCACGTTATTTCAGCGGCTGGGGTTGAAATTGACCCAAAGTAGCTGGACACGGTAAAAGCGTGGCACCCCCCGACGAATATCACGGAGCTGCAGAGTTTTCTGGGGTTCTTAAATTACGTGTGTCGGTTCGTCCCCGACATGGCACGCTTAATAGCACCACTCACGAACTTACTGCGCAAGGGGGTTGTTTTTACGTGGGGGGAGAAAGAGCATGCTGCCTTCTCTACCCTGAAAAATGTTCTCTGTTCACCACACGTACTGTGGATCGCTGACCCACACCGCCCATTCGAAGTCGTTACAGACGCCAGCGACATAGCCATCGGCGCCGTACTGCTACATGACTTCGACAACGGCCTACAGCCCATCGCATACGAGTCACGAAAACTGCATCCACCTGAGAAAAATTACCTGATACACGACCGCGAAATGCTCGCGATCGTGCACGCATTCAAAGTGTGGCGCTGTTACTTCATCGGCGCAGACGTGACAGTACGGACAGACCATAAATCGCTACAGTACCTTCGCGCACAGCCACACCTCAACCCACGACAGATCCACTGGCTCGATTTCCTTGAGTCCAATTTTCACTACACAGCCACCTACAAAAAAGGGGCATTGAACATTGCCGACGCACTGACCCGCCCCACTATCCAGATCCACGCGATACTACTTGCCCAGACCAGCCCACTACTAACAGGACTATTCATCCATGGGTACCAAATGGATCCATTCTTCACAGGAGGAAATTCGCAGCAGTTCGCAGCAACAAAGGGAGTTTATTATGTAAAAGATGGCATCGACCGCATCTGGGTACCGGGGTATTCACTCCTACAGGAATTACTGTTACAGGAGGCACACGACGGAGTTACCTCGGGACATTTTGGGGTAGAGAAAACACAGCAGCAGCTACAGCGGTATTATTACTGGTCCGATATGTTGACCGACGTACAGCGACACGTGGCATCGTATCCCACTTGCCAGCTCATGAAATCATCACGGAAGCGGCCGGCAGGACAGTTGCAGCCGATACCACCCCCAGAGCGTGCTTGGCAGCAGGTGACGATGGACTTCGTCACGGGGTTACCGGCCGGAGCAAGTGGGAACGACGCGATCCTGGTCGTCTTCGATTGGCTGACGAAAATAGCACACTTCGCAACTTGCAAAAAATCGATCACAACTGAAGAAACAGCCCGCCTCTTCATCTCCACCGTCGTTCGACTACACGGGATACCAGCGGCAATCATTAGTGACCGTGACACGAAATTCATCAGCAACTTCTGGCGGAACCTATGGCAGCAGTTCGGCACGCGACTACAGTTTAGTTCTTCGTACCACCTCGAGAATGACGGACAGACAGAAAGGTTAAATCAGACTATGGAGCAACTCATCCGAGCCACGTGCGACGACCCGACCACCTGGGAACAGCAGCTACCACTCATCGAGTTCGCATACAACAACTCGCCATCCGCCACGACCCAACAGTCACCGTTTTACCTGAACTACGGACAAGACCCGACAGTACCCATGACCCCGAATCCCGACAACCTGGTGCCACGAGCAAAACAGTTCGCCGAAATTTTACAAGCAGCACGGACCCGAGCAGCAGACGCGATTAAAAAATCAAACATAATCGCTAAACGCAACGCCGACCGCCACCGCCGACCTGTCACTTACCAGCCCAACGACCTAGTTTTACTTGACACCAAGAACCTCCACCTGCCCATTACCCCAAAACTCCGCCCCCGATATTGTGGGCCATTTCGCATCAGCCACATGATCACACCCGTCACCGCCCACCTCCTCTTCCCCGCTGATTGGTACGTCAGCCCGTCTTTCCACGTCAGCCTGCTCCGCCCCTACGTACCATCCACCAGCCAACTGCCCCGCAACCTCCCAGCCAGCATGACTCGACCGCCGACAGAGCCAATCATCACGCCCGAGAAAATTCCGAGCCATCGAGTTCGTGACCCACGAGGAGCTCGACGGGTCGAGTTCCTGATCCGCTGGAAAGACCAAACGCCCACTGAAGACAACTGGGTTCCCTTGGACAGAATCGAAAACCACCTCGTCCTCACAGAGTGCCTGCGCAGCCGAAATTTCCGGGATGTACATGCGCTTTCGTAAGGAGGGCCTCCTTAGGGGGAGGGGTAGTGTAAGGAAAATTCCTTTTCCTTACTTCGCGTCCCTGCTCAGCGCGTACACCTCTGTTCCCGCCAACAACACCCAACAGTAAACCGTTACCACTCGCGACATTCGCCCCGACACTGTTCCCGCCACTGTTCATGATGCGACCCAACCTCACGGTTCGGTTGGTAACCCGCGCTCCGGACCTCCGAATCGGCATTTCCCAACCTCGGCGCCAGGCCCATCGCGCACCCCATTTTCACGCATTACCGTTACCACTGTAGTTTCGCTATATATTCTTCGCTCATGCCTTCGCTCATTGTAATTTTTGCCTCGATAGTGCAATTCTCGCTCACTCAATTGCACTCGTAACACAAAGCGAAGCTTTACAAGTAGCTTGACTTCCCTATACTTCCAGTGATGAGTACTTGCCTGAAGAGATATTATCCTCTGACCTTCTGCATTAACATATGTTCTAACACAAGTATCAGAATACATAGCATCAAACAATGATTGATGCTGTACGCGGTGCCTGGACTCACGTGACTAACAGAGATGCTTCTTGCTTTTAGTCTGCACAACTGGTTGTAGTAGCCTCATGTTTAGCAAGCAAATATCAAAGTAATGCTATGCAAAGAGAGACGTACACGGACCCCTAACACACTAAGCTGACTTTGTATGATCACAAGCAGAATGGTTATGCTACCTCTAAAAGTTTGCAAAAAAATCCACTACAAAATTCTCTGCCATTAAACTGTTGCACATGCCCAGATGCTACCTTCACATGGTCCCAACGTTGCAGGGTCTACTGGCAAATGGTTCAATGTCTGAACCCTACCCCATTTAATGCTGCCACTCCCCTAGTAGAATGGGTATAAAAAAGCCCCTTGACTTTCCAGTTTCTCCTACACTGCGAATCTCCTTGATCGCTCCATGTCCCCTAGGGAGTTTCAGTTCAGGTTTTTCCTGACGCTGCTGCTGTCCGCTCACACACAAACGCGCTCCCTGGTTTCAAAGCGTAACCCTTGTTGCATTCGCAGGAAAACCGCCAAAAACCTTCCCACCCACTGGCGTAGGCCGACACGTGCCATGCCCTCCATACGGCCCCCATTTCCCATTCGCACCGCAGTAAGCCGCGCACGAAGCCGGCCTGTATTGCGATGTAACCTTGCAACCAGGCACTTGCGAAAGGCAGTTACGAGCTAAGGTCGCGGTAAGTCACGTTCAACTCAAGCCCCTCGCCTCCCTGGTGCGTCTTGCAAGTATGGGTAACGACTTGCGTCAAGCATCACACCAACCATGCAACATGTTGCACCACACTTCACCACACTGCATACCTGATCGATTATTATCGGCCATGTGACGTCGGTCATCCGGATGTCTTTATAAGTCACGTTCGATACAAGCACCTTGCCTCCCTGATATGTCTTGATTCGCAGGGCGTTGTTTGACCCCGTGAAGCTCACGTTTCTCACAAACACGTCTGACACACACGCTGTCTCTTGATCCTCGCCCAAGCTGCCAATGCTGTGAAGAGGCGACTTTTGAGTCAACTCGAAAGTAATTTTGAGTCAACTCAAAAGTCACACGCTGTATCTTGATCCTCGCCCAGGCTGCCAATGCTGTGAAGGGGAAGGATGGTGGAATGCAGAGGCAGGAAAAGAGACGACGGTCGATACGACCCTGAAGCTCAAATTCCTTACAAGCACGTCATCCCACCGACACTCATATTCCTTACAAGCACGTCGTCCCACCGACACGTTTTTACAAGCGCGGCGTCCCACCGACACTCATAAGGACAAACACATCATCGGACACACACTCTGTCTCATGATCATCTCCCAACCTCCCTATGTTGGCAAGGCAGAGAGAAAGAAGGATGAGAAAGGGAGAGACGATGGGGGAGACACAGCAAGGGGTTGTTGAAACCCTTGATGCCCACGTTCCTTACAAGCACATCCGGCATGTTTGAGATTAGTTTTGAGAATTCTCAAAACTAATCTCTTACAAGCACATCCGGCAAACAAGCTGGTGCATGGTCCCTGCCAAGGCTGCCAATACTGTGAGATAGAAACGGGGGAAAACAAGGGTGTGTATACAGCAGCAGGCTGTTCTTGGACCCCGTGAAGGGGGGAGGGGGGAGGGGGGAGGGGGGAGGGGTATGTGTTGATTCGCAGGGCGTCGTTTGACCCCGTGATGCTCACGCTTCTTACAAGCCCATCCGGCACACAAGCTGACCGTCTCTTGATCCTCGCCCAGGCTTCCGATACAGGCATGGCAGAGAGCGGAAAGGAGAGAAAACACTTGTAGTGTCGTGTGCCATGTGTATGAAGAAGTGTTTTGAGACGTCTCAAAACACTTGTAGTGTCGTGTGCCATTGTAACCAAGTGACTTTTGAGTCGAATCGAGAGTGGAAAGTAGAAACGAGAAAGAGAGGTGTGAGAGGCAAGATGAACCAGAGAAACACGCTGAGGAGGAGCAACAAGGAAAGGAAAGAGAGAAGAGGGAAGAGGAAATGCAATGAGGGGTGAAGATGAAGATGAAAGGGAAGAAGATGAAGGGTGCGAGAGGGAGGAGACATGGGAGAAATATGGCAGACACCTCACCTCACTCATGACCGTTGATGCAGACAAGATTCTCAACCAGCCTAGTATGGCAACTGTCACTGATTGCCACGTTGTCATCTCCTGATTAGCGAAGTGGGGAAGGACTGGAGTTGGGGAAAATGGATGGGAAAGAGGATGGGGTTGGGGAAAATGGATGGGAAAGAGGATGGGGTTGGGGAAAATGGATGGGAAAGAGGATGGGGTTGGGGAAGAGAGAGCGTTTTGAGACGCCTCAAAACACTTCTATTCTCACGAGGGGGAAAGAGGAGGCGGAAAGAGGATGGGGAAAGAGGATGGGGAAAGTGGATGGGGAAAGAGGATGGTGAAAGGGGATGGGGAAAGAGGAGGGGGAAAGAGGATGGGGAAAGAGGAGGGGGAAAGAGGATGGGGAAAGAGGAGGGGGAAAGAGGATGGGGAAAGAGGAGGGGGAAAGAGGATGGGGAAAGAGGAGGGGGAAAGAGGATGGGGAAAGAGGAGGGGGAAAGAGGATGGGGAAAGAAGAGGGGTAAAGAGGATGGGGTTTGGGGAAGAGGGAGCAATTAACACCATGGAATAAGCTACACTTGGTTATTAACAGAGTACTCAATTCTATACACTTCAGTTACAACCATATTATATGTGAATGAATCATAACCCTGCCTACACAACCAGTTTCTAACTTAACCAATATACATATATATACGTGTATAAATATAAATAATTCTTCTTCTAAGCAGCAGAGTATGCCTTCTTACGTCTGTTCACGTTATACGCGAACTCACTCACCGCCCTGCAGATGGCTGTTTCGTATGATGCTACTCCCAATCCTGGAGGGCTGAATGCTGTCCGTGGCTGTTGAATGGGCTGCGAGTGGTTATCCTCCCTATAAGCAGCTCGTTACTGCCATAGACCTTGAGGTGTACCTTTCCTGGATTGCCGTCAGCAATAATAAGAGAACAAATGGGGGTGATAAGTCAGGGAATCGGAGTGATATTTGAAACGAATACAAACAAATACTCGTCCCCTCGTTGCTTTCCCTTGTCTTCCCCTCTCCCATCTCCGCACCAGCAAGATCTGCAAGTAACGAGTCAGCAACAAAGAGACCTTCTAACGAGTCATCCACAGGCCACACCCCACCAGTGCTGAATACCCCACTTGTGCCGCTGCCACTGATAATGCTCCTACTGCTACTGCTGCTACTGCCCCTGGCGATGTGAGCATGAGCAGAAGACGAAGGAGCAGGAAGCAAACAACGCCAAGAGCCATGAAAGCGGAAATGTATGCACTGGCCCTGCAGGCTGTTGTTGGCCAGGTCAAGTATAGCTTGCTTCAACAACACTCACCAGTAAAATCAGCCAGCAGAGCTCGACACGGCCCCTGCATGCTGTTGTTGGCCAGGTCAAGCAGCCTGAGAGAACAAAGGGGTGATAATGGGTGGAGAGGAGTGAGAGGAAAATGAGGGAATTTGAACGAAGAATATGGACAAAAAAGCACCAAGTGTTGGTATTAGGGCTGCTGTTGAGGCGCCTCGGAAGTCGCATTTTCTGGCAGCAGAGCTGCTGTTGAGGCGCCTCGAAAGTCGCATTTTCTGGCAGCAGAGCTGCTGTTGAGGCGCCTCGAAAGTCGCATTTTCTAGCAGCAGAGCTGCTGTTGATGCGCATCGAAAGTCACATTTTCTGGCAGCAGAGCTGTTGTTGAGGCGCCTCGAAAGTCGCATTTTCTGGCAGCAGAGCTGCTGTTGAGGCGCCTCAAAAGCAGCATTTTCTGGCAGCAGAGCTGCTGTTGAGGCGCCTCGAAAGCAGCATTTTCTGGCAGCATAGGTGCTTTGATGGCGGTGGCAGCATTTCCCGGCGGTGATGCTGATAGCGTTTTCTGGCAGCAGGACTGCCCAAGTCCCTCGAGAACGCTAACAGCATCGCCGCCACCAGAGCAGCACAAACATCCCATCTTCCATCTCATCCCATCCCATCCCATCCCATCCCATCCCATCCCATCCCATCCCATCCCACCACTTGCAGTACCAAGAATGAACGCATCTCCTCACTTGCTCCATCCAACTCTTGAGGAAAACGCCTCCCCCACTCACCAGAACCCCAGAATGAAAACGACAATAGCTCCCACCAGCGGCCGTCCTTCTTCCACCCTTCCATCCCCCAACACATGCCCCAAGTCCCTTGAAAATGCAATCAGCATCGCCGCCACCGCCACCACCGCCACCAGAGGAGAGCAGCGCACAGCCCATCACAACCACAGCAATCTATGTTTTCTCCCACTCACCAGAACCCGAGGATGAAAATGACAATCGCTCCCACCAGCGGCCGCCCCTCTTCATCCCCCAACGCGTGCCCCAAATCCCTCGAGAACACTATTAGCATCGCCACCACCGCTACCAGAGGAGAGCAGCACACAACACACGCGACTCACCAAAAACCAAGTATGAAAACGACAATCGCTCCCACCAGCGGCCTCCCTTCTTCCACCCTCGCATCCCCCAACATATGCCCCAAGTCCCTCGAGAACGCAATCAGCATCGCTGCCACCGCCACCAGAGCCGCCCCCGCCACGATGAACGGGCGGCGACAGCTGTCGCTCCAATGACCAATCAGATGCTAGGGGAAAGGGAAGAGGAGGGGCGGTTTTTTTGGGGGGGGGGGGGGGGGGGGGGGGGAGAAGGGTGGGAGCGTAGGGAAAATAAAAAATTGATAAAGCAGCACATCTGAAAGATTCGGCTCGACAAAAAAACAGTGGCTATTGTGCGGCTGAACACTGCTACCACTCTGCTCTGCGGCTGACACTGCTACCACTCTGCTCTGCGGTTGAACACTGCCACCACTCTGCTCTGTGGCTGAACACTGCTACCACTCTGCTCCAGCTGAAGAGAAACACTAAGCTTAGCTTCGAGGTGGTTTTGAGTCGACTCAAAAGAAGCATCCGGCCGCTGTTGTGAGGCTAACCATTGCTGCCAGCTAACAAGGCATTTGAGAACTCTACCTTTCACACACCCGTCCCCCCCTTAATACGTGCACACCATAGGCGCAGGGAATGCTGAGCTGCTGCACAAAAGTCACAAACAACTTTCCCGCCCCTCTTCTCCTCCCCTCTGTTAGAGACTAAGGACGGAGTCTACGAAGATTAGGTGCCTGAATTTCTCAAAATCGTTGGCTTAGAATTCTGGACAGAAACGTCGAGTTCACAAGAAACGCCGTCGACGAAAAACGCACCGTCAAAACTTCACCAAACTCAGATATGTTGTAGCTCTACTCCGTGGCTACAATTCCCAAGTTGAATCGTACGAAAAGATGAAGTATTTCTTGAGTTATCAATTTCGGCGCACTAGGGGGTAAGCTGCCATAGAATCTTAACTCAATTACAAAGTTCACACAAATTCACACAAGAGAATTAGAGTAGCACTAAACCAGGTGGAAGGGATGAGGAGGACGAGAGGGAAGGTCCCAAGAGAGTCCCCAACCAAGCAAACCCCATGCCACACAATTCCCCTCTCCATAGGCAACCTCACTTTCACTTTTGTCACTTTCCCAACCTCCACAATCCACCTTGCCCAACTTGGCCACACTTGCCAACCTGGTTTGGCTCCTCCCAAACACTTGGCAGCATCTACAGTGATGTTGACGAATTTCCCAACCCCCAAAAGTCTGTACCCCTTATGGAGTCAACCCCACAACTTCCCATAGTCACCACAACCAAATATCAAAAGCATACGAACTTCCAACGTTCGTAACTTTCTTGTTCGTGCTCCGATTGAAGCGATACTTGGTTCGTCGGAAAGCTCTTGAGCAGAGGAGTCACTTCAGATATCTGCTCAAGCCAAATAACATTCACACACGCTCAGAAAATCCAAACCGCACAAAACACAAATTCTTGCACATACTCACAACACGCATGCAACGCACGAACATAGGATGGGAGGCAGACAGACGTGAATGCGAATGGTAGCATCACTCAACAAACTCCCCCTCTGGCTGCCAACCATCATCCCACATGCCACAGCTCAAGCATGCACCCTCAATGCACACTCATCCCAGCAAGCTTCATGCCCTTCCAATGCTCAGCTTCAGCCAGGCGCTTGGTGAGAATGTCAGCCGCCTGCTGATGGGTCTTCACAATCTCCAGTCGCACCTCCTTGTCCAGGAGCCTCCTCACCCAAAGCCACTTAGGCCTGATATGTTTGGTCAGCCCATGAAGACAGGCGTTCTTGGCTAACTTCACTGCCGACTCATTGTCACAAAACATGATTGTCGGCTCCCTCTGACCAACTCCAATCTCCTCCAACAAACGCCTCAGCCACACTACCTCCTTTGCCCCATGATGCAAGGCCATGTACTCTGTCTCACACGAGGACTGCCCCACCTCATTCTGCTTCTTGCTGCGCCAGCTCACTGCACCACCTCCAAACAGGCACACATAGCCTCCAATGCTGGTGCCATCCGTCTTCACAGAGTTGAAGCTAGCGTCGGTATAGCAGGTCAGGAGCATCTCCCCCTTGCTCAAATCAGCTGCACCCCTCTGCAGCCTCTGCCTCACAGCACTGTACTCCAAACCCACTGATGCCGTTGCACTCACGTAGCGGACCAACCTCTTGGCCGCTTCCAGCTGCTCATGACTGGGGCGTGAAACCACACTGGCAAGCCTGGATGTTGCAAAGGCAATGTCAGGCCGCGTGTGGTTAGCCGCATAGTTGAGTGCCCCAACCATGGAATGAAAAAGCTTCCTATCACTCTCACCCACCACCTCCTCATCAGCACAGGGCTCCACAGTGAACCCCGAAGGCAGTGGTGTGGCTGGCTTTCCTCCATCTTGCAGCCCATACTTCTCAGCCAGCCCCTCACAATACTTCCTCTGGTGCAACCTCAACACTCCCTTGTCAAGGTCCCTCTCCACATGCATCCCCAAATAGTACTTCACATCCCCCATCTTGGAACACTTAAACTGCATCTCCAGCATCTCCTCCACACGGTCAATCATTGCAAACGACTCAGAGACAAGCAGGATGTCGGCCACATACACCAGGAGCATGAGAAAATGCTCCTTCTCTTGCAGCAGGAACAGGCTGTGATCACACTCACTCTTCTTGAAACCCCCAGCCAGCAGTGTCTCCTCTAGCTTGTGGTACCATGCACGAGGAGCCTGCTTCAGGCCATAGATGGCCTTCTTCAGCCTGCACACCCTGCCGCTCCCATCATCCAACCCCTCAGGCTGTAACATGTACAGCTCCTCCAGAATGATCCCATTGAGGAAGGCGGTGGTAATGTCCATCTGCTTCACCCGCCATCCACGGTTTGATGCCATTGCCAATGACACCCGCAGTGTTGTGCCTTTCCCCACAGGAGCATAAAGCTCGTTGAAGTCCTTTCCCTTTGTCTGCTGAAACCCCTTTGCCACAAGCCTTGACTTGTAGCGGGTCAGCTCCCCATCAGGTCCGTACTTGTGCCTGAAGATCAGCTTGGAAGAAATGGCCTTCTTCCCAGGTGGGAGCTCACACAGCTCCCACGTCTCATTCTCCAGCAGAGAATCATACTCCTCCTTCACACTCTGCTTCCACTTCTCAGCATCTGGCCCGCTCAACGCCTCGGCTAGTGTCTTGGGCTCAGGGACGGCTGCCCAGTAGCAGTGTGCTATCTCCTCCTAATCACACTGCTCGGCCACACTCCCAGCCCGCACCACCTTTGGCTTGCCAAAGCTCGGATAGGTCAGCCGGTTAGGAGGGCGCACATCCCTCCTTGGACGGTCAGCCGGACGTGCGGCACCTTGTGGAGCATCTTGCTGCTGCTGCTGCGGCTGCTGCTGCTGCTGCTCCTCCACCTCAGGTTCTCCCCCATCCTCAGTCACCCCAGAAATCTCCTCCTCTGAGACAGTGACCTGCACTTGCCTCGAATGCCGCTGCACCTCATCGGCCTCAATGATCAGCGGTGTAGTAGGGAGCTTCTGCTGCTGCTGCTTCTACTCCTTATAGTACAAGGACTCAAGGAACTTCACATCCCTTGACACAGTCAGCTGCTGGCTGGTCAAGTCCCAAATCAGCCAGCCCTTGTGATCTTTAGCAAGCCCCAAGTGCACACCCCATCTCCCAGAAGCTTCCAGTTTTCCCCTCTTCTCCTTAGGCACATGCAACACCACCATGCACCCAAAGGCTCTCAGCATGTTCACAGCTGGTGCACTCCCATACCACTTGGTGTAGGGGACCCACTGCTTGTCCCCCACAGTCGCCAGCACCCTGTTCTTCACAAGGGCGACCTGCCGCAGTGCAGTCACCCAAAACGGATCCGGCAGCCCTGCACGCCCAAGGAGAGTGCGAGCACCTTCCTGCAGGGTCCGGTTGAACCGCTCAGCCACGCCGTTCTCCTGAGGTTTGTAGGGCACTGTGAGCTGATGCTGGATCCCCTTCTTCTTCAGCACCGCCTCAAAATCAGCGCCAATGAATTCTCCCCCGTTGTCAGTGCGGATCACCTTCACCTTATGTCCGCTCTCCCTTTGAGCTCTCGGCATCCACTCCTTGAGAACAGCCGCTGCCACCTCCCCCTTGGTCTTGAGAGGGTACACCCACACCGCACGCGTGTGGTCGTCCACTATCGTCAAGAAGTAGCGGCTGCCCGAGAGAGAAAGGGCACTCGTGGGGCCCACCACATCCATGTGCACTAGTGCAAGTGGAGCCTTGGCTGGTCCTGTGCTGCTGCTGAAGGGAAATTTTGTGAACTTGGTCTCAAGGCATGTAGGACAGCTCCCAATCTCCTTTGCTGCCCCCTTCACCTCCAGCCCCTTCAAGCACCCATCCTTCACTAACTTCTGCAGCATAGGGATGTTGATGTGACACAACCTCTCGTGCCACGTCTCCCAATCGGTCTCACCACTCCCAGATGAAGCCTTTGCCCATGCAGCACTCCCATCCACACCAGCAAGCACCTCACCATGTAGCTGCTCTGACTGCTGCACCTTCTTGACTGCATCCAGGGCCCCAGTAGTTGGTGCAGTCTCCTCTCCCCCTGCAGATGCCTTAGCCGTTGCTGCAGCCGCTGCCATTGCTGGTGGTTTCCCATTCCAAGGGATGATAGGCAGCTGCCATAGGTCCTTGATGCAGCTGCTCTTCTCCTCCAAATCCCACAGCAGCAACTTCCCAAGCTTTGCACGGCAGCTGGTTGGGCCGAAGGTAACTTTGGCCTTGCTTTTCTGCAGCCGGCGCACAGAGAGGAGGTTAGCGGATAAACCTTCAACCAACAGCACATTCCCCAGCCCCACAAGCCCCCCATTGGCCCCCATGACCTTGGCATTCCCAACACCAATCACAGGGAGCAAAGCACCTGAAGTGGCAGCCACAAACTTGATCTTCCCTGGGGGTTTTACCTCGTCAAACAAATCTGCCCGTGGGGTCATGTGACTTGTGCAACCTGAATCTATCACCCAGTGGGTGAGGGGGTGCATCACAACCTTCCCAACTGAACCCACATCACCCCCATTCCCTTGCACATCCTCAACTATGAGGAACATCCCAGGGTCGGATTTACCTTGTGCACCATCACCTTGTGCACCTGAACCTTGCACAGCGCCACCTCGTGCACGTTCACCACTTGGCGGCTTCATGCCTGGGGGCGCCCATCCCTCAGGCCGGCTGAAACACTTGAACCATGGGTGTCCAGCCTTCTTGCAGTACCAGCACGCTCCCTCCATTCGGATGCTCCCCCTTCCACCAGAGCTCCCATGCCCCTCATTGTAGTCACCTCGGCCTCTCCCTCTGCCAAAGCCTCTCCCACGGCCTCGGCCTCTCCCACCCCCTCTTCCTCTGCTGCCTCCTGCAGCTCCATACCCCTCAGCAGTTTTGTTGGCAGCACCACCTCCCGTGTGGCGCCTGCGGAAGTCCTCCTGCAGGATCTGCTGCCGTAGCCACTCAGGCGTCCATTTGTCCTGCTGAACGTTGAGGGTGGGGATGAGGTTGTCCCACGAGTTGTCGAGCACCGAGATGATCTTGGTGCACTGTTGCATCTGCGACACTTCGCTGCCCGCCGCTGCCATCCTCGCATA